AATAATGGCGATGTCAAATTTTTCTGGCGAGTGTTTCTTCCGAATATGTCTACGAATAACTGTCGGTCGTCATCGGAGGCAGAGGGCGTGAAAGTCGAAGGGACGGTTGGGGTAGTAAAGTTAGAATTGGTCTGCGATGCATTTCACTGCAGGTGGGCTCGGGTCTACGAGGGGCTAGGGAGAAGGATGATGAGGAAGTGTATTCGAATGGAATTGATGATGAAGACGTTGGAGCTGCTTCTAGTGTGTAGGGATGTATTGCTGTAGAGAAGCTACTGGTAGGATGGTTGAATATTAGGCATACTTATAACGACGAGGAAGAGTATACGCCTAGGAGTCGGTGTTCATCCGCGAGCAGCTCATCTGAGTCGTCCGAGAGCAGTGACAACTATAGTGATATGAGTGATGATGGTATAGGGGAGGAGGACGATGACCAGCACGAAGATGAGGATGCTGAGGGATCACAATAGTAGTCATTGGGCTTAGACTATCGCCGTCCGTACTAATCATAGAAGTTTACATATGAATTCGGGTAGAAGTGTTCAGGAGTCGGCAAGAACATTTCAAAACATCCTCATCAAAATTTCCATATTGTCACCAACATTTGTAGTTGACCATTTGCATATTTTGCCTAACACTGGGCTATCTTCACTATTCGCTGTCAGTGGTGGTACGGACGGCGGGGACTATACCGAGTCCGACGATGAAGGCACAGACGGATACAAAAAGGGAGGTTACCATGCTGTTCATTTAGGGTAATAGTAATAGGGAATTTCACAGGGAGAGTGTCACTTGATCTTGTCAGGGAAATCTATAACGACCGTTACAAAGTATTGGCGAAGTTAGGGTGGGGTCATTTCAGTACGGTGTGGTTGTGTGAGGATCTGGAGTACACTAAGAAGATTGAGAAGGAAATTGCTAAGGAGGGTAATATGAGAATTCCATAAGGAAAAGTTTTGAATTTACGGTATGATTATATTATCACGTTTTGTTGTAGACAATGAAGTCTTTGCAAGGGACAAGAGTCGACCGAAAAAAATTACACCCAAGTAAGGGAGAAGGGAAGTGATCCTGAGATGCATCTGTTGGTAGGCGATATGTGGCATTGAAGATTCAGAAGTCGGCCCCGCATTACACAGAGGCTGCCTATGACGAAATTGATATTCTCAACGAGGCGAAGAAAAGGAAGTGAGTCGCACTGGAGGGAGAGAATCTAACAGGGGCAGTTTTATGTGTAGGTTCGATGCTAGATGGATTGGCAGCAGAGATTCTATGAGGGACTTATTACCGTTGAAGCCTGGGGGAGGGCTGAGAGAAAACTTCAATGGGGTGAAAAATGCGGGCTGCGGGGTTCGAACCTGTGCGGGATATTGTACATTACTCTTAGGTTGTCTCCTTGGTCGATTCATTCACTACTGACGGCCCTAATGGACGCCACGTATGCATGGTTTTTGAGCCCATGGGACCCAACGTAGATGTGCAGAGATGTCGTTCAAGAGTGATAGTTATGGTCAGGTACTTGCGCTGATCAAGAAGTTCGATTTCAAGGGAGTTCCTCTGGATATCCTTCGAAAAGTA